CAAGCACGTATCGACAATTCCTCTTCCTCGACAAGRTGACAGGGTCAGTGTTGGAACGAAGTGTTTCGTAACAGGTACGAGGTAACAGTTTATAGTCGCACGGCTGACACAGGAGATAGCTAATAGTATCCACTAAACTATGAACTATCACAAATCACTTCAACCTCGTTCCCAGTGCCCTCTCTGTAGCTATTTTCAAAATGGCGGACGCTACAGCGAAGACCCTGGCAAACAATGAACTAAGACGCTTTGTGATTGGCTGATAAAGACGCCATTCTTATACCGCTTGCCATTGGATGTATATTTTAAAGCTATGTTCGGTTATCAATCGGGGTTTGTTCGACCAGATTCATATAACCGTAATTTTGATATACAGAACTAAGGGACTTATTGTTCTGGCACATCTACTGCCATCCACGCTCCAGTTAGGCTTAGTCTTCTCTCGCAGCCCTTGCATGTGAGACTCGATCCCAGGTCACTCAACCAATCCGAGCGCGCGCAATAAACTAAATTATATAATAATGATAATAGACGCCTTTTCAAACCTTGGTTCTAATGTTCAGGTTGGGGGTTAAAGAAGGGATTTGATCGTAGCTCACTTGCAAAAGTTCTACAAGAAGCAGATCTAACGATTGCCCCTCACCAAAAGTGTGATAATATGTTCAACACAGTGTCAGTTGATAATACAATGGTATGTGCTGGAGGACAAGGAAAAGGAGGTTGTCAAGGAGATAGTGGGGGGCCATTGGCATGCTGGGAGAATGGTCAGTGGGTTGTACGTGGTGTTGTCAGTTTTGGGATGCCAGACTGCTCTGTTAATCATTACACAGTGTTTGCGCGAGTTAGTAGCTTTGTCGACTGGATTCAGAATAAAATAAATCCTTCCAATTAAGAATGTAATTACTGAGAATAAAGCACTTCAAACGAATTTGTTTTGTACTGTGTGATCAAATGCCATTCTTTGTTTTGCAGACTTGCTTAGCTTTGACTGAAAATAACATTTTAGAAAGTCAAAACTGTCAAAAATATTGCAAGGTTCTGTCTAGAAATATCTAAAATTATATATTACTTATACAGTGATTGGAAGAAATTTTAACCGCTATCGTTCATTTTATCATGACTACATGAATATATACAAGATACAGTACAGTTTTCGAGTTAATACACCAGTCTTGGAAGTTTGTTTGTGCTTCGTTACTGGTATTACTTCTTGGAAGTCCTTTAGCCATAGATATGACTGAAGGTTCTCAACCAATCCGTGCGCGTGTTATATACCAAATATTATATTAACGTCAAGATGAAACGGCTCTCGGCCAATCCGAGCGCGCGTAATAGACTAACAATCACACAGATGGCTGAYGCCTTTTAAAATCTTAGGGTTTACACTAGTCGTTGCATCATGGGTAATWAGGACAAAATTACTAAGAGGCGATAGGGAAAGAGATACGTTTTTCGCAATATTTCGTTTCTGAGTTAAACATCCCAGACCAAACTTTTTCTATAGATTGATAATCGACTGTTTCATGCTTTGTGGCTATTTTCGAGCCGATTGGACCATTCTTGCCGAGGCACGATTTTTTTCAATAATCAAATTGAGACGAATTGAGCTATTTTTATCAAGTCTAAGTGTYGCAAATCTACTGCCTCCGCGTCCTTCTAATAATCAGTGTTTATATGTGGCTTGAATACATGGAATAGAGGTTTCTCCATCAACTATAAACGTTTGGTCCCGCAAATTTACCTCAGAATGGAAATATAGCGAAACAAGTATCTCTTTCCCCGAATAATAATAATAATAATTTTAATTTCTCATAAACATGTTTACAATAATAATAGCAAAAAGAATAGATTATGAAAGTTTTTCCATTTTAAATTCCTACTAAAAACGAATTTTACTCTTTCCTCATTAACCATCATTCATCAACAAGTGTAAAATCCTCTATACAATAGTAGCTAATCTGCAGACGTACGAGGTGATAACACTGCAAAAATTAATGAAATAAAGCCTTTCTTATCCTGACTATGCAGTGTTCCCTCTGGGAGAGTCTGTGCCAGAGGAAGACTGCAACTTAACGTAACTAGTATCGGAACATATATATGGAGCTGTAGAGCACTCTACTCTGGGCTGCTGATACAGTGATCGCAACTGTATTCAGTTGTATTTAGTAAATCGTGCATGCGGTACGCAAATTGAATTGATACAAATGAAGCATTCAATTTATCGTTTTCACACATTCCCATGAGATTCAAAAGATAAAAGACCGGCGGCTATGTTGGAAGAATGAGCAATAGATACTGAGAAATCCGCGCATGCGGTACGCAATTGGAATAGAATTGATACAAATGAAGCATTCAATTGATCGTTTTCAACCATTCCCGTGAGATTCAAAAGATAAAAGACCGGCGGCTATAGTCCCACAGTCAATACTAACTCAGTTTGGTTCGTTGTATCAAGTCAAACATGAATTCGATGAAGAAATTTAGTCTCATCATGAGTGTGGCGCTTCTCTTGGCAGCTTCTGCACCAGCTGAAGGTAACACGAAAATGTTTGGCATCGAAACATCAGTTTAAAAGATTGACCAATAATATCAATTGTATACACATCGACTACTGTAGTAGTCCCTGTGTTCGATTTATAATATAGCTCAGAACAAGGGCTATATCTWTTATCTCTATATCTGTTTGGCGCTTGGAAAGTAAATTTCCTCGGACATAAAAASATCATGAACACACAAAACCATATTAGATCAGAGGTCTGCTAGGATTCTTGCATTTCAATGCATTTCAATGAAGTGATCGATCGGGTKTGGCTCTTTGCGCGCCTTGATTTTTGATCATTCGACAGTTCGACATTCGASATTCGACGATGAATGACTGCTAGCTATCCTAACTGCTAATTAAACAAATGTTTGGGGATACTGTAGCCAAAGACGACTTTCTTATAGGGAGATGTGCCTTAGTTTTGATCTAAATTTGTAGAGCATATAAGACCAGCCTCATCAAGCAAGCGAGTTGTTAATGGAGAAAATGCTGATGCTCACGAATGGCCATGGCAAATTTCCCTTGCAAGTGATACTCAATCGCACTTTTGTGGTGGGTCGATCATTGCACCCGACTGGGTGCTAACGGCCGCTCATTGCGTAACATCAAGGACGGCAAAATCGTTAATAATATTAGTTGGTAAGTTGCACTAGTCAAAGGTAATGAACATACTGAGAATTACAACTATGAACAACACAAAACAACAACAACAAAACAACTTAAAACAACACAACACAAAGCAGCACAACAAAACAACTCAACAACA